GAAATCAACCCAGGTACTTACACCTGACTGATCTTTAATGAAGGTACCAAGAAGGTACATAAAGAAAAGGATAGTTTATTCAGTAAATGGTGCTGGGAAAACTGTATATCCATATGCAGAAGAATGAAACTAGACCCATACCTCTGACCATATGCCAAATCAACTTGAAATGGATTAAAGATTTAAAAGACCTGAAAGTATAAAACCGCTAAAAAAAAAAAAAAAAAAACTTAGGGGAAACACTTCAGTATGTAAGACTGGGCAAAGACTTTACAACTAAGACCCCAAAAGCAAAAGCAACAAAAGAAAAATAAACAAATGTGATTGTATCACACTAAAAAGCTTTTGCACAGCAAAGGAAACAATCAACAGAGTGAAAAGACAATCTACTGAATGGGAGAAAATATTAGCAAACAATACATCCAACAGGAGATTAATATCCAGAATATACAAAGAACTCAAGCAACTTCACAGTAATAAATAAATAAATAAATGGATGGATGGATGGATGGATGGATGGATGGATGAATGAATAAATAAATAAAGCAACTAAAAAATGGGCAAAGGAACTGAATAGACATTTTTCAAAGGAAGACATACAAATGGTCAAGAGATACATGAAAAAATGCTCAACATCACTAATCATCAGGGAAATGCAAATCAAAACCACACCAAAATATCATTTCATCCCAGCTAGACTGACTATTAACTAAAACACTGAAAATAATAAATGCTGGTGCAGATGTGGAAAAAGGAAACTCTTCTACACTATTGGTGGGACTGCAAATTAGTGCAGCCATTATGGAAAATAGTATGGAGTTTTCTCAAACAATTACAGATAGAAATACCATACAATCCAGCAATCCCTCTTCTGTGTATATATCCAAAGGAATGGAAATCATCATATTGAAAGGATACCTGCACTCACATATTCATCACAGCTCTATTTGAAAAAGTGAAAATATGGAACCAACCTAAATGTCCATCAACAGTTGACTGGGTAAGGAAAATGTGGTATATATACACAATGGAATACTTCTCAGCCATAAAAAAAAAATGAAATTCTGCTATTTACAGTAACATGAATGAGCTTGGAGAAAATTTTGTTAAGTTAAATAAGCCAGGCAAAGAAAGAGAAATAATGTGTGTCCTTACTTGCAAGTGTATGCTAAGAAACAAAGAAAGAAAGACTGTAATAAAACATTGAACATTCAGAAGGACAGAACAGAAATGGGGAGGGTGAGAAGGGATTGGGAGTAACTGGGTAAAGGACACAAAAAGGAATTATGATTTGTAATGATGAAGATGCTAATAATATTGGTTTGATCATCAAACACTGTACACTAATACTGACAGTCAACTCTGTGCCCCATAAGTATGTATAAATAAATATAATAAAAGTTAAAAATTAAAACTTAAAAAAAAACTGACTCAAGAAAAAAATTAGTGAATAAACCTATCATAAGTGAAGACATTGCAAATATATATAAAAACTTTTCTCTCATTAATAACTTCATTACATGTTTTCCAAAGTCAGCATAATAGTGTACTTAATGACTATAAACTTTTCTTTAAATATTTCTCTAAGTTAGAACTTAATTTTCAATATGTTATATTATAGCTTTATAATAAGTATCAACTCACCCATGGCTAATTTTATTGGAAAATTCAGAAAACAAATAGATATTAAGTAAAATATTCCTAATTTTAAAGTATTTATAATGCAAAAATATACCCCAGAAAGGTTTTTCCAAAACTGTACACTCTATGCCCTTGAAAATGATGGTGAATATATATATGTCACCTTGTTCAGTGAGATTCTCTATGAGTAACTAGTCTTCTCCAACCCCAGTTGCCAGCTAATGGGAAGCCTGCATATTATATATATATAATACATACATATTATATATGTATATATAATACGTACATATTATATGTGTGTATATATAATACATACATATTATATATATGTATATATATAATACATGCATATCATATATGTATATATAACAATATATAATAGAATATTAAGTCCGTTATTTTTTAATTTCTATTATTTATTATTAGAATATTCATTCTTGCAAATCATGATATTTCAGATCAGCCTAGAAGACATTATACAAAGTAAAATAATCCAGACACAAAAAGACAATTACTTCATGATCTCACTTATATGTGGAATTTACAAAAGTTGAGTTCATAGAAACAGAATAAAAGGGGGTCTGGGATCTAATGTAAAAGGAGAGATGTTAGATTAGATACAAACTTGCATTTATAAAATGACTACATTCTGGAGACCTAATGTACAGCATAATGACTTTGGTTTACAGTAAAGCATTGTATATTGAAATTTGCTAAGAGAGTATATCATACATAGGGTCCAGATTTGAGTCTTCTGTAGACAATTTATCTAGAGATAATACATAGAGTCCAGATTTGAGTCTTCTGTAGACAATTTATCTAGATATTATGGCATTTCTTGGCATTTCTTCTTGTTTCTTAAAATACAAATTTAAAATTTGGTTATGGAAGATATTATTTGGTCATGGTTTGGTTAAATTCTGCCTTTCCTTTTAACAGTATTTTCTTTTAATGGCAAACCTATAAGGCAAACATTTGCCCTCCTGGGTTGAGGATCTATATCTCTTTACTTTTTTTTTCATGTTTTATATTGCCTTGCCTTTTTTGCCACCATTCATTTTTATTTGTTATAAAAGTTATTTCATAACTTTCTGCTTGCTTCTTTTCAACAGAAACACTTTCATCTTTTGTTCAGTGCAATATATTCTCAAATATTTCTGGAAAATGTTGATGCTGGAAATATACTTCAAGAACAGTAAGCATGATGGAATTAAACCAATAAAGAAGGGAATATGATCCTGATGTGGCAGTAAAATGATCAACAGTCATATTTAATTTTCATATTAATATTCATTAATCATAGTAATTAAAATATTATTTGTTAGTTTTCAATTATTTTAATCAAGTTATAGACAAATCTGGGAAGATTTCCAGAATCATATCAAGTGGTAATGATCTTAAAAACAGAAAATAATATATGTGACTAACACTGAGGTTGTAAATAGTGGGGAAAGAAGGAACTATACCCATATATACTTTATATATGTACTTAATATATGAAATATATGTGCCATTGTATGTACATGTAAATATTATAATATTTTGAGGAAGAGGGCAAGTGACACATGCAGTAATTGAAATAAATCCTTACTGTGTATAACAGAGTGGTAGGTAATCTAATTAAATTTCAAACATAGCTTGGAGTAAATGAAATAACCACCAAAAGGAGTACAACAAAAACCCACATGCAGACAATATTTTTTAAAAAGGTCATTTCTGGAACTGAACTACATGAAGGTGAATTTTGAGATGGAGGTTTTGATTTATTTTTTGCAATGATCTTGGCTGCAGAGTTTGGTTTTAATTTGTAAAAACATGCACATATTATATACACTAACTTCAACTTACTTTTGAAAGAAAAGAAAATATACACACTAGGTAAGCCATAGATACATAGCACAGGAGGCAAGAAGAAAATGTTTCTCAAGACAGAAAGGTCAGTGTGCATGATGAAGACATTAGCAGCAACATGGATGAGCTGTAGAGAAATAAGTCAGTCACAGAAAGACAAAAACTACATGTTGTCTTTCATATGTGGGAGCTATTAATAAATAAATAAATTAATTAATTTTTTTAAAGTAAGTAGTAAATAAATAAATAAATAAAAATACTAATAACAAGTTGAACTTTTAGGAGAGAGAACTGCGGTTACTAGAGGTTGGAAAGGGTGGAAGGAAGAAGACAGTGAAAGGCTGGTTAATGAACTCAAAATTACAGCTACTTAGGAAAAATGAGTTCTGTTGGTGTACAATTGAGTTAGGGATCTATAATTAACAGTAATTTACTACATGTTATCAAATGACTAGAAGAGTGGAGATCAAATGTTTACATCACTAAGAAAGGTTTAAGTTTCGATATGATGAATATGATAATTACCCTGATTTTTTCATGATACATGTGTATTTGTAATGAAATATAACTCTGTACCCATAAGTATGCATAATCAATATGTTTCAATAAAAAGACATATTTTAGGTAAATATTTAATTAAAATACTATTATACACGCCATAAAGACCATATACCACAAGTGAAAGCTTCATGAAAGAGTGCCGAGTTGGTACCATCCATGCCAAGAATTAATCAATATCAGTTCCTCAGAAGCACTGCATTACCTGGCCTCTCATTCTCAAAGGTAAAGATTATCCTAATTTCTATTACGGTAAATTAGCTTTGTCTGCCTCTGAGTATTATATTAATGAAAATATCCAATATATATTCTTCGTCTATTTCACTCAATATTTCATCTGAATAGATCACAACTATTCATTTATGCACTCTAATGTTGATGGACGTTGTTATTTCCTTCTTCTAGGTATTATAAGTATGCTGAAATTTACATCATTTACAATTTTCTATATGAATTGTTATTGGATATGCAGTTGGCAAACTTGGTATAGAAAGAAGGAGATAAGAACTTGGGAAACAATAATGAACTCCAGATGATTTTGTCCGAAGAATGCTCACATAAGTAAATTAGTGCAGACATTAATAAGCATGGCTCATGTTTTCCCAAGGATTTAAATTCTTAAAAGAGTTCAACTCCAATCCTAGTGATTCAACCACTGTTCTGCAAAGTCGTGTAGACTGTCATTCAGGAACAGATACCTGACTATGAAGATTAAATGCAGTGAACTTTGAAGTCCTCTATGAATAAAGAGGTTTGAGGTACATGGAGTTTGATAAATCAGGGTCTATACCTACATGATCATCATAATAACCCTTTCAAAAGAGGTAGAAAATCTTGGTCACACAAAAATATCTCCCGTGGCCAGTTTTCTAATTTCACTCAAAGCATCTCCTGTTGACTTTGTGATCCCAGCCTGGCCAGGAGAACTCTCACTGCTCAGAAGACTCTATTTAAATGTTACAAAAAGAATTGTCCTTTGCCTTAAGCAAGAACCTACCGACACTTTCTCGTATCTGCTTGGTTTTCACCCCATACACAATAGGATTCATTGTGGGAGGCATGAGTAAATAAAGATTAGCCATAATAATGTGTATATGGGAAGGAATGGTGTGTCCCCCAAAACGGTGTGTGAAAAAGGTAAAGAAGGCTGGGACATAGGTGATGACGATGGCACAGATGTGGGCAGTGCAGGTGCTGAAGGCCTTCTGTCGAGCATCTGCTGAGGAGAGACTGACCACTGCTCGGAGGATCATGGTGTAGGAGACGGTGATGCACAAGATATCAAAGCCCCCAATCAGGAGGGCAACCATCAAACCATAGATTGCATTGACTTTAACATTACCACAGGATATTTTGGCCACGGACATGTGGTCACAGTAGGTGTGTGGGATGACATTGCCCCTGCAGTATGGCAAGCGCTTGGTGAGGAAAGTGAAAGGGATAACAAGCATCACACCTCGAAGGAAAGTGAGGAGCCCAGCCTTGGCAATGACTGAATTAGTGAGGACAGTGGCGTAGCGCAGTGGGTAGCAGATGGCCACATAGCGGTCCAGGGCCATGAGCATGAGCACCCCAGACTCCATCCCTGTGAAGGTGTGCACAAAGAACATCTGGGTTAGGCAGGCTTTGAAATCGATCTCCTTGAGGTTGAACCACAATATGCAGAGGGTGTTGGGCAGGGTGCTGGTGCACATGAGCACGTCCGTGAAGGAAAGAAGGCCTAGGAAGACATACATAGGTCTGTGTAAGGCCTCTTCAGAGTAGATGAGGTAGATAAGGCCAAAGTTCCCTGTGATAGCAATGCTGTACATGGTACACAGCGGGAAGGAGATCCACAGATGAACTTCTTCCAGACCAGGGATGCCATTTAGGATGAATGAAGCTGGACTTAGGCTGGTGCCATTTAGAAACGACATAATGACTGTTGGAAGTTCATGGTATGGCAGCTACAGAATTGGCTCTGTAAGACACAAAAAAAAAAAGAAGAAAAAAAAAGTAAGTTCAGAGAGGAATTAACAAGCAAGGTTTATTTCCTCATAATGGCTAATTTTTCTTTGTTGTAGATCAATGACCATATCTGTTCTCTTATGTTTAACATGTGATATAAACTCTATTTGAGTGCATGCCTTAAGCAATAGATGTTAAGATGAGCTGATTGAGTCTAGTAAATGTGTCTGGTTCAGAATGTGTCTAGGCTCCTTTTTTATCATGAACTTCATTCTCTGGCTGAAGTTGGCCACTAATGAACAATTGGATGATCAAGAATTGTGTAAATATTTGTGGTATGGTGCTCATTATCTTAGAGATTCCCATTCTATTCTGAAATGTTAACAAACTTTAATAGTTTATGTGGGTGCACTTTTCAAAGTTAATCAGTCTTCAGGAAGTCTGGGCCCTGTCCTACTTCCTGAAGTGTTTTTCTTATGGTTTCTTTAAGAAGTTTTATTGTTTCAAGGTGTATATTTAATTCTTTAATCCATTTTTAGTTGATCTTAGTATATGGTGAGAGGTATGGGTCTAGTTTCATTCTCCTGCATATGGATATCCAGTTATGCCAGCACCATTTGCTGAAGAGGCAGTCTCTTCCCCAGTGGATACGATTGGTGCCTTTGTCAAAGAACAGATGGCTGTAGGTGTGTGGGTTGATTTCTGGATTCTCTATTCTATTCCATTGATCAGTGTGTCTGTTTCTATGCCAGTAACATGCTTTTGGGTAATTATAGCTTTGTAGTATAATTTAAAGTCAGGTAGTGTTATGCCTCCAGCTTTATTTTTTTGGCTCAGAATTGCTTTGGCTATGTGTGGTCTTTTGATATTCAATGTAAATGTCTGAATATTTTTTTTTCCATTTCTGAGAAAAATGTCATTGGAATTTTGATGGGGATTGCAATGAGTTTGTATATCACTTTGGGTAGTGTGGATATTTTCACAAAAGAATGGGAAACCAAAGG